AATACTTATATTTTTTCTCTTTAGCTTGAAAAAATATTGTAACTCAAATTTGACCAAAATGTCCAAAATTAAGCCATGGGAGATGTGAAGTTAGCTTATATAAGTAAGAAATACATAATACTTTGCTCATCATGCCACCTATGCAGTCCTTTAGATCCAGGTAACCAATGACAATGAGTAGATAAGAATTAGAAGAAAATAGATTGATACTCTTTTCATATTCCCTCTATTCAGGGATTACTTGGGTTCTAGTTATCATGTAAAGAAAATAGAAGATAGGTATAAGTAGGAACCAAATGAAAATCTAAGGACTCAATATATTGACTTTTTATTTTTTCAACCCCTCAGTCCATATTACTGCCCATGTGATGGTGTGGTAGAAATTGAATGCACCTTGGAGTCAAGAGACTTCGGGTGTAGTGACGGTTCTGTGACCAAGTCATTGTAAGGCTTTGGGCAAATCCCCTCACATTTCCTAATCTGTGAAATGAAAGGTTTAAACTAGATGACTGCTAAGGTCCCCTCCGGCTCTAATATCTTATGATTCTTTGGCTCTGTTCTTAATTCTCCTGGGGCCTAGACTGTAGAAAGCTAGATGACCAACCTTTCACAGATGAAGCAATTTCTCTTTTGGAATGGATTGGCAATTTTAAAGAGATATTGAATTAATAAGTCAAATTATGAAAACAAGACACGCAACAGAAAAATCCAATACCCTTTCACTGATGTCATCAACATGTTTGGAACAGTCGTCTCAAAAGTACTGTTATTATCAAAGCTACAAATTTAAGATTATAAGATGACTGAATGCATCTATATTATTCTCACAATGAAAATTAAACCATATTTATTCATTTGTATTTCAAGGACAAGGGGGCAAGCTTGGATCCTCAACAACACTTTAGTGCACTTGAAGTGGGTGCCTCTGTCCTTAACACTAGCCAATCACCGTCAGCATCTTCAAGAAGTTCTCACAAATCCTCCCATACACCCATGTCTGAGACTGCCTGTGAGTATGATATCTCTAGACTACTGATAACCAGCGATCAGCTTCTTTTGCAGTCTACAGTTCAAAAGGTTACTATTAGGTTGTGGTTTGTCCTTCATTCTCAACGAGGATCATGACATCAGAAAAATGATGACATGACTTGCAACTGAATTGGATTTAAGTGAGGGAGGGCTGTAGAAAGTCATCAGACTCACTTTCTCCTCCAGAGCCATCTGGGTCCAGTGGCCAGATGTAGACCAGGACAGGATGCAATGGGGGACCTTGGCCTTTTTAAGCTAAGGTCTTTCTAAGTTCTCACTTTGAGTGAGGCAAAGCCAATTCAGTGATTAGGCCTGTTTAAGAAGTGAGTCAAGGGATGGCCTCTTTAATTAAAAAAATATCAAACTGGTTGGGGAAAACCTTCAGGGTTGTTGAGAAACAAGTACTATTTACATTCACTCTGAGCTATCTGAGCCCCAAGAAATAACCATTAAGTGGTGCTTGGGCAGGGACCTATCCTTGGCCAATCAATGAGAACCGGAGTGGATTGGATTTAAGGCATGGTCTTTAAGAAAGAAATCTAGCCAGTAAACCCCAGGATAACTTGGTAAGTTTCAGCCATCAAAATTTACCTTCCTTTGGGCAGAACACCCTCAGGTAAGGGAAGAGAAGAAGAGAGGAGGGGAGAGGAGAGCTGGATAGGGAGATATGTCCATTGGTGTCCTCAAATTGAGAACAAGTGAACCCTTATTAAAAGGAGATTGGTATTGTAGGACTTATAGTTCTTATCCCGTAGTGGTTGCTCTATCACTTATTCACATCTCTACCAAAAGGATGTTATTAAGTCACTCAACTAGCATTTAAGTGCCTAACATGTGCCTGGAACTGTGCTAAACACTAGGAATACAAATAGAAGTGAAAGATAGTCCCTGCTCTCAGGGAACTCACGTCTGTTAGAGGAGATCACATGCAAATAACTATGTACAAATAAGATATATTTGGGATAAATTGGAGATAACCAATAGAAAGAAGGCACTAGCATTGAGAGGATCAGGAAGAGATGCACTAAAATAAATGAAACAGTTGGACTTTTTGGCTACTCCCCAGCAATTCTATTCAGTTAATTCAACAAACATTTATTATCTACCTATTATATACAAGTTACTGTACCAGGCTCTTGAGAATACGAAGATGGAATAATGGAAGTGTCTCCCCCAAGGAGCTTAGGTGCTACTGGGAGGACATTGGAGCTAATGGATAAATTGAAGCTTGAGGATTGCCTGTGTATGTCCACCATATGCTATTTCTGTCCCCATTAACATGAAAAAATTGGAAGTTGAACAGGTGTTCAATTAATCATATATATTCACCCAGGCTGAAATGACCTTCTTTCCACAGTGATTCCTACTATAGCTATTCTGGGAATTCTTAACTCTTTTGTGATTTTGACTGTTTTCCTTATCTTTCTCCTCCTGCTTCAAAAGTATATGTGAGTCATTAAGGGCACTCATTGCTTTCTTACAGCTACTCCAACCAAACTGATCAGAGAATCCAGCACCCCTTCCTTGTCAAGGACCTCTAGCCTACCGCAGGAGTTACCCATGCAAGGGCTCAGCCAACCTGCTACCATGCCTGTAAGTATTGCTATTGTTCAGTTGAGTCTGACTCTTCATGACCCTATGGTCCAGTCAGGGGGTTTTCATGGCAAAGATACTAGAGTGGTTGGCCATTTCCTTCTCCAGCTCATTTTATAGATGAGGAAACTGAGGCAAACAAGGTTAAGTGACTTGCCGAGGGTCATGAGTGTCTGAGTGTGGATTTGAACTCAGGTCTTCCTGACTCCAGGCCCAGCACTCTATCCACTTAGCCACCTAGCT